TGACACCGTATAGTCGTATAAAAATTCACCGAAGTTTCGGAGCAACCAGCTGTGCATGCTGCCTTCTTGTTGTTGATGACTCCCCTAGCCTATTCTTGAAGCCTGCAGATTGAGACAGTATGTTCCTCCGAAACGACGGTAGACATTACCATACATCCCAAAAGATAAATTCTCTTCAAGGTTTGGAACTATCCCGACGTTTGTATGGAGAGAGAATGAATAAACAGCGGAAAGGCTCGGTTATACCCAGTGCAACTTGAGGCACAAATCGAGTTTGTCAGATTTCCTTGTGTCCTCTTCGTTATGAAGCCAGTGCACGTCACCTGGTCCTTGGCCGAGAGCAGGTGTTGGCTTCTGACAAGCCGGTTCCAACGTGAGCAAAATCTCCCATTAGCTGCCAGGCCAGCCATCCGAGCCATGCATCTCCTTTCATGGGACTCGCGTCCTTCTGTCCGGTTTCTTTCTCTTCTTGAGTACTGCACTATGCTACAACCCGGAAGGTCGCGGGTTCGATTCCCGTTGTGGTCGTTGGATTTTTCAGTTGACCTAATCGTTCCAGCCGCTCACCTCAGCGATTGGCCGATTGTCTAGAAAAAATATGAGGGAGCCTCGACATGTCCCAAACCCATGGGCCTCCACAGCCTGTTACAGGGATAGTTTCACCATTTCATTAGCATTGGAAGAACAGGCCTTCCTTGGACGATTCCGCCAGAGCTGTCTACTCTCGTATCTCAAGATCCGGGTTTCACTTCTTCGGGTTTGACAACAGTCCCTTTTTTACAGAGCAGGGTCGTCAGCCTTGCGTCAACCCCCAACTTGGCGGACAGGGTTTCTGTACTTATGTCCCCCCAGTGACAGGGTGGCCCTGTTATGCCCCCAGGCACTGGGTTTCCTTTTAGACATATTCTACGAATCGCGAGCCTACGGTGGAGGTATTCTAACCCGCCTCCATACGGGGATTTAAATGAACACGGTACTTCCGAAAATAAGTGCCCCCCAAATGGTTTGTTGCACCCGGTAGGGGCTGAAGGCTGCAATAACATTGATCTGCCCCCTTCAGAGAGGGGGAGACGTACATCACTTGACGGTCGTCAATCTGATGGGATGATCCGCCGTGAAGAAAGGTTCACTGCTTTTTAAGGACCACTGTGAACATCATTTTTGGGCCGTGTGCAGGGGTGGGAATGACTCATTCATATTGAGGTCAATTAGAAATGGAGGGACAAGCCCCCGCACCTCCACATTACTTCTTGATGATTCTGGCAAATTGCTGTCATTAGTGAAAGTGTCTCCCGTCGCCGCCCATCGCCCCCTTTTCGAGAATTGTCGTTCCTTTTATTTAAACTGGGTGTTCACAAAGCTGAAATACGTATACACAACCAATTTTGCGTGCGTATGATATAGTCTTCCCAGCTTTTATCTTCTTTAGGACGTTCATGGGTGGGTGGATGGGTGGATGCATGGATGGATTGCAGATAGTTGGCAGGTTGGTACTTGGATCTATTCGGATTGAGCGAACGAAAGGGCACAGAAGCAACAGAAACGGCTCCACTGGTCTCCGAGTGGCTTCTGAGGTTGGAGCCACGAGGCAGGCTGTTCGTGTGACCAGAGGCCCGCTCTACTGGGGCAACAGGTGCTGGGCAGAGGAGACAACAGGTGCACGTATTTTCTTAGTTTCAATCCTCCCACGTGCCCAGTTTTTCTTGCGCCGGTTCGACCTTCAGCTGTTTTGTTTGGGAATCCACTGTGATGCCCTATCTGAGCCGTAGCTCTGTGTCGTTGGATTTGAGGTTGTCACAGCGGGGACCATGACATCGTCTGGTTTTATGGGAGGAAAGTATCGCTTCCATCTTCAGGGTTGAAGACTACGCCAAGCAAGAAATCAGAGGGAGGCGGCAGGGCGGTGGGCTTCAGCCGAGACTCACGTCATCACAACTCAGAAGAAGATTTTACTCTTTGTAATTCTTTACTTTGTGGTGGGCCAGAGCAGTGCAGAAAGGCTGCAGGCTGTTACTATATAATCCTAGATAAACATGAAGAAATTCTTCCAGTCTTTTCGCGTTGCGGTACATGAGAATGTAATCAGATAGACGCCTCTTGGGGCATGACACCGTGTAGCCTGGTGCACGGATTAGTGGACTTGTCCACCGTCCGGCATTTCGATCTGGTCTGTTTGTTTCAATTTAGTATAAAGAAATGTTGACAGTGTGGGGACAGCAACATTTCAGCAAAGAAACAAAACAAGGTTGACAAACATCTCTTTTTTGTTGTAATTTCTTTTGTTATTTAACAACGCTATCAGGATCGAGACTATGTACGTTGATGATATTATGGTACATAGACCCGTTGCTAGGAAAAGACCTTGAAACAAACAACCAAACAGCCATTCTTAGGCAACGATCGTGAGATGGGCGGTTATATTAGACCCGTTTCTGGTGACGGGCTCGGTAAACACGCTCCCGCTCCGACGGTTACGCAACGGGGGAAACAGGGTGTTGTCTACGCGGTCCGCACCGAGGATGTAAAAAGAAGAGAATTAGGACAACCGAATTCAGTTGGTAGTTGGCAGGCAGTTCTGTACGGGAATATTGAAAGAAGGATATGAGCGCGGGAAGCTGAAGAATCTTCACTGTTAACATCCGTTACCAGGAAACAGCTGTTGAAGACACCGCAGGCTGGGAAGTTTTATGAATTGTGGAGATAAACGATAGTGCTGTAATTACTTGTAGTAATGGCTGTAGATCCATTAGTATGGTATAGTATCCTAACATGCAACGCTGTATAATCCCGAGATGCTGGCAGCTTCGTAAAGCAATCCGCAGCGTATAAACGATTATCGATTTGGATTCAGTTTAGTATGTAGAGCTACATGAAAAATTGTTTACACGAATTTAATGTTGTTCTTTGAGATCAAATACATTACGCCAAGCAGATCTAACATTACCCATTTTATAGAAAGGAATGTCTCCTCGTACGAAGGAATTGACCCATGAGAAAATATAGACTTCATTGGAGTCTAATGGATTTCTTTGGAGAAATTTCCGATGTAATGCTTGTCTAACTGTGCACAAGGAGACAGAGCGGTGTGACATCTGTCTGTGGTGTCATGAACTGTACAGTCGATTTGTTTCTGCAATAAAGGAACACGGAACATGCAGTTTGTTGTTAACCTCTGCTGTCATCTTTAGGAACTGTGAATGAAACTGAGTATTGGTTGTATGAGTTGCCATGCGAACAAACAAAAGAAGCACTGTGCTTTATCTGCAGAACATCAGTACTGAAAGAACAAACCGAACTGAGTGAGCAGGCACTGGAGATCATTATACCGTAAAACATGTTTTAAAACCAGTTCCATGCGCTGGTTCATAGAGGCAAGGAAACGTTATTTCTTAAGATGTAAACTTGAAACAACGATAAACCTGTTTCCTTGCGTTGGTACCAAAACTATGTTTGTTTAATACCGTGGAGATGTACAGGTCCTTTGCTGCTAATTTAAATGTTAATTATCGTACAGCATTAAAGGGATCTCTGTTCTGGTGCTTCAATTAAATCGGTAATTATCTAACTACATTAAGGTTCACGCTACCGTGTTGTTTTTCTTCTTGTTCCTCGCCTGCTTGACATGCAGATGGCGAAAACATCGTCAAACTTCCTTGTAAAAAACGACGGGGTTTCCTCCCTTCTTTTATAAAAATCAGTTCTGGTTTAAGAGATATACCAATATTTGATGTGAAAGATTGATTAGATTTGTGAGTGGCTGCTCGTGCCAGTTGTGTATTCTCTTTGGCGTGTTATGTTCGAGCCTCTCAAACATCAGGATTCCACATGATGTATCTAGTTTTGTCGGTGTCGACTTGTGATTTTATAAATTCAAACGTTTTATTTAATCTAACAGCGAAAGGTAACCTAAAATATTAATAAGTGTATTTCTCGCGAGTGAAGATATTATGTAAATGGATCTTGGAGACAAATAAGATGGGGCGGTTTAGACTGGATGCATCTGGCTCAGGATAGGGATTAATGGGGGCTGTTGTGAATACGACAATGAACCTTCGGGATCCATAAAATTCTGGCAAATTCTTGAGTACCTGAGCGACTGGTGGCCCCCCATGGAATTAGTGCGTTACCATCAGCGATAATTACATCACGGACGCTCGGACTTCTGAGGTGCAAGCAATTCTTGTAGGATCTAGATATAATGTAGAGTTTATTTAAAAATGTACCTTTTGTTCAAGGACTTTTCCTTTTTTGTAGAATGTAAGATAAACATGTTTCAGTCGTTGAAGAAATGTTAGCTTTTAATTTTATGGCGACAACTAATCAGCTACGGGTTTGCATGGGGATATAAACACATGTACAGTATGTGGGTGACCGCCTCTGTGTTCTAGCGGTCAGAGTTCCTGGCTACAGAGCCAGAGGTCCGTGTTCGATTCCCGGTGCTACCAGATTTTCTGAGGAGTAGCGGCCCTGGAACGAGGTCCACTCAGCCTCATGATAATTGAGGAGCTATTTCAAGGAATTAGCGGCTCCGGTCTAGCAAACCGAAATTAACGGCTGTGGGGATTCGTTGCGCTGACCACGCCACAGCCTCTATCCGTTAAAGTCGGTACTAACTTCGCCGTCAAGCGGCGGTCGCTAGGACTAAAACCACGGAGGTTTTGTTTTTCGTTTGTACAGTATGTGGTCTGTGAAGTGTTTTTGTTAAGTCAACATCTACAAAGATGGCGACTGTTGGAAACTTTGAGGTTATATCCGCCAAATTTAACATACATATGAGTTCTTTACAAGAATAAAGCAGTAACAGTAATGGGTCCGTAATGCTCGCAATAAATGCCGTAAGAAAGTAAGCCGTACAAGCTGAGCTCAGAGTATTTTATTCTCAAAATCCGTTGTCTTTGTTAGGCTATTACAGGTGGCGGCCGTCGTGAAATCCAGATTCTGCGCATTATGTAAACCTTATGATCCATGTGTGCTGAGATTCTGGTTTGTCTGTCTTGCAGACATCCGCGTGCAGTTGAGCGAGCAGCTGCGATGTCTGGACGTGCGCATGGAGTCACAGGTGGCAGTGGTGGCCGAGCTGCAAGACTACTTCCGGCGCCGCGCGGAAGTGGAACTCGACTACAGCAAGAACCTGGATAAACTGGTCAAAAGCATCCAGTTGAGACACAAAGAACAGAAGCAAAAGTGAGTGTGACTTTTCTAGTTGATTCAGCTTTCCGGGTTAGATGAAGTTTTAATGAACATATCCCGGTATAATTGTTCACAGCAGGGCAGTGTTTGTCTTCATATAGTTGCCATAGAAACCGAATGCAATACTCATCTCATTTAGTTTACGATTGAACTGAAACATGGTATCAGTAAACTACATTGTTTCAGTCGATGTTTGCCAGAAAAGATCTGTAGCCCATTCTTATTATGCTTCTTCTATCAACCTTTCACGAACTTGTCAAGTTCACTGTGTACGATGCCAGAGTATGCCTCTAGGGCTGTAATGTTATCGGGTACGTCATTAAACAGAAGGTAGCAAACACGTCAGTTTTTTTTACACTGTGCGTAGATTTCCTAACTTGTGCATTATTTGATATCTCTATATATTGTCACGTATATTAGTGACCAAAGACGTGGTAGGGATTGGTAATTGGATTTATTAACAACCTACAGGTCGTAACTGCAATTAATTATTACTCTATTGCTGATTTTCACTGTTGCACTCGCACTACGATTCTCCGTCTTCATTAGTCGTCTCCTGGCAACGGATCTCAACACGGAAACTAGAACTTCAAATCACTCTGAAGTCTTCTTGCTATTTCTTGTTCAGTCACCTTGGAATCTCGGAACTCAACTGAAACTCGTCTGTACTCCTCGAGCTTACTGCTTGTTGCGTGCTTCTGCCGCTACTGCTACTCGTAACTCGTAACAGTCTTGAACGAATCCTGTCACTGTTACTTATATAGACGCGGAACGGACATGGACCTACAGTAGACACATATTACGTGATCGCTATCCTATCAGTTTGTTGGGNGTACTCCTCGAGCTTACTGCTTGCTTGTTGCATGCTTCTGCCGCTACTGCTACTCGTAACTCGTAACAGCCTTGAACGAATCCTGTCACTCTTACTTATACAGTAGACACATATCACGTGATCGCTATCCTATTAGTTTGTTGGCGCGTCGGTCGGATCGACAGAAAACACAGCTTCCTCTATTGTTGCGCGATGGACCTTGATTACAGAGCTGTTGCCTGGCAACGCGTTGATCAAATCTGTTACAGTATGGAAGGCTGTCGCCAATATATTGCATATGTGTCCACTGTTAGCCGACAAGGGGTGGTTATCCGGCATCGGAGTTGCGTGTGCTACTAAGAAACGGCATCAGCATGAGCAGTGTGTGTATCATTTCGATTATTAGGATGGCCAAATAAAGGAGGGTTCAGATCACAGTGGCCGCGCGGTCTAAGGCATGAACTGTCTTCGCTCGGTCGAAACGCTGGGATCGTGGGTTAGAATCCAACTTGAGGCATGGATGTCTGTATGTGCGTTTACTATGTAGTATTTGTGTTCTTCTGTGTGTAGGTAGCGGCCTTGCGACGGGATGATCTCTCGTCCAAGGAATCCTGCCGACTGCGTATAGGATGAAGGAACTGAAAAAGTGGTCATTGTCCAACAAAAGAACTGTAGAGCCATAGATAGATAGATAAATAAAGGAGGCTACGATGGGCAGGACATGTAGCACGGGCACAGGGGAGATAGGAAGTGTGCACGGATTTCTTTCCGGAGAACCTGAAGGGAAGAGACAGTTTGGCAGATCTGGACGTAGAAAGGGTGGGTAATAATAAAATGGGTCTTGAAGAAATAGGGGTTGCGCATGTGGACTGGACTGAACTAGCTTTATGTGTGGGCCATATTAATGGAAGTATAGATTGCGGGAATTTTCGGCATCTTGGTTTTTTTATTGCTAGTGGGGTGGAACTCGTAAGTCCACTTCTCGCCTATTGTATCAGCCCCAGATGATAGGTGAGGGTGATTGTGGAGCAATTGGTGGAATTAAGATTGTCAGGGGAAACCGCAGTACTCGGAGTAAACCTGCCCCAGCGCCACTTTGTCCACCACAAATCCCACTTGACCAGACCCAGGATCGAACCCGGGCCGCCGCGGTGGGAAGCCAGCGACTAACCGCTTGAGGTATGGCACGGCCCCGGCATCTTGGTTACTGTCAGCTTCTCACAGAGTACTCTGCTTCATGAACTCGCCTCTTTTGACTCACGAGCTGTCGTTTCTTGTGATGCGACTATGGAAGAGCTCTGTCAGCAACTTGGGGTACATCGACCGCATAAGATGGCAGTAGCTCCCATGTCAGTGACAGACGAACCTCGATGCTCTCCGTGCGTCGGTTGATAAGTTATTGGTCTATATATCTGCACTGCTTACTCAAGCGGCTTTACGGAAGAAAACTGTGTGGCAAGGGGAGATAGCTGCTGCAGGGGTTGCTTTGTTAGGAGGGATGATGCGTATGTGTGCAAGGGGTCGTAACAGACAGACAGACAGGACAATGTTTTGCTTCTGAAAAAGTCTCAGCAGGTTATTGATTTGTGTGATAATAACCCCATTGATACTCTGCATTGTTATAATTCAGAGATTATTATTACTATTACTATTAAAACTAAAAGCACGCCGTGGCTTGAGTCCGCAAGCTAACTATACCGACCGAGCGACCGCCGCTTGTCGGCGAAGTTAGTGCCAACTTTAGCGGATAGAGGGTGTCGCGTGGTCAGCGCAACGAATCCTCACGGCCGTTAATTTCGGTTTTCTAGACCGAACCCGCTATTTCCTTGACATAGCTCCTCAATTACATTATTATTATTATTATTATTATTATTATTATTATAAAACGAAATGGCTAGAGAAACTACCTCTTTTTAAACTGGTCAGGAATTCTCGTGATAATCGAATCCGGATGTACGCCACCGTCTGTACAAAAGCCTGGCGTTAGCGCCCATCTTGAGACATGTCGGCGAGTTTCACGTGTTAGGTATTTGCTCAAAATCCGTGTTAATGTTATCTTCACATCCGCTTCTGAATCTCCGAAGTTCTCTCTTCTGAGAATTTTCAGACAAAATTTTGTATGGATTTATTGTTTCCTTGGTGCAATCCACGTGTTCCAGTCATATCATGGATCCTGATGTTATTCAGCAATACTGATGATATTAGGCGAGTATCGCAAATTGCGAAGCTTCTGATTGAGTTACGGGTAATTTCTTCTTTATTTCTCGCTCTTAAACCCACAGTCTTCAAAAATCAGTAATTTTCTTTAACTGAGTGAGATTTCCAACGTACATACTGTGTGTTTTCTTTGAGTTGGGAACCGACAGTTTCCATATGTATATTTGTTTCTCCCTTAAACATACTTAGAAGGAAAATTCGTTGCAATCAATATAATGAAATTACTATCTAATTTTCATTGTTGTTATTGTAACTTTCAGCACGTTTGAGTTTGTACAGGTATTGATTTTCATCACCCTACCAAATTTATGATAGTACCGCTACATACAGCGCTTCAACAGTTGCCGCGAGAGAACTGGAGGAAAAAGAAAAGAGGAACGATGCCTAGGGTCCCCAAAAACATAGTGCGGGGAATCCACATAACGATATAATGAGCAGACGAAACTGGCGTAGGAAAATGGAAATACACGTATGGTACAGAGAAGAGTTATCTTAGAGTGGAAAGGGCAGAGTGAATGCACAGAAGAAATGACTGAGAACATTGCGTAATCTTCTGAGAGCGATGTTACTGATTTTTTTGTTTATGACAGAAAATTGTCGCATATGAAGTTGTTCTTAAAGATTTGCGGAATTCCAACAGTTTTTTGTTTAAAATTCTGCTCCCAGCTTGAAAGTTCGCGTTACAGCCATGTTCGCATTAATAAAATAATGGTTCCCGGGTACAATTTGTGTATCAATCAGGACAAAGCTCTTCCGTCTGTTCGTGTAAAAAGAAGCATCAATCTTATTTGCGTCACATGGAAATATAATTGTTATATTTCAAGATTTGATCTTACACATAATTAGATAATTTAAAATGTTTGAAACCATTTTTTTAGCACATAACAAAGACCTTTAATTGTTCTCTATATGCCTGAGCGACACTTGGTGGGCAGAGACATTTCTGTAGAAATGGAAAATATTCGAAGTACAAAATAAAATTAGCTTTAATCATCTGGTTCTCGCATCTTCCATTGTTTGATTCAGAGCCTGTAATATTGCAACGGTGAGGTGTAAGACATTGCGGTGGTTGCCCTGTACAAGTGCGGTTAGATGATCACTGTTAACTGCATTATCGGACTACCTTGTTGATTTCCTGATTAACTCTTTAACGTTAATTACTACCACGAGAAACCGTGTTGTAGAGTAGACAGAAAAAAAAGTATGGTTACATATATTAACAGTAAATGATTGTCATTTGTAACATCTTCCTTTTGTCTTCCTGGAGACAGGATCTCATAGAACAATGCCCATTGTTTCAAAATGCTATTATCTCTGCTGTACCTCCGTGTCTCCAGACATGATACGACCTAGCCTTCTGATGAGACTGCCATCATAGTATGAGTGAAATAATTTACGAACTTTATTTTAACCTCGTAACTGTTCAAATATTGTGCTGAAGTGGACTGCTCCAACAAGATAAATGAATCACCTGTCTAAAAAAAACAGTTTACTTTCTTGTTTGACGTGAACCATAAAATAAGGCAAAAAAAGCCATTTAAGCCATCGTGAATCGTTAGATAGTAAGTGAAATACTAGAGCAATTTTGGTGAAACATTCCATACATTTGGATTCTGATTTTTTAAAATGAGAATCCAATTTTAGGAGTGTTAATAATGAAATGTATTAGAGGGCTAGGGGCATTTTCGTTAAACATTTTTGCCATTGGTTCTCGTTTAGAAATATCGCTCCGTGTATGTCATCCAGACATGCTCTGGAATGTCCAACAAACAGGGGTCTCTTGTCCTAGAAGTAAACAGGTCAGAGCATGAAGCCTCATCAGTTGATTTGGTTAAGAATGCTCCATACTTTAGCTCTTTGTCTTCATGGGATGGTGCTTAGACATTTGAAACTTTATGGTCACTATAATTTTGCCTGTGGTTCTGTATGAGTGTGAAACTTGGTCTCTGATATTAAGGGAGGAACATAGACTGAGGGTGTTTGAGAACAGGGTGTTGAGGAGAATATTTGCACCGAAGAGAGATGAAGTGACAGGAGGTTGGAGAAAACTGCATAATGAGGAGCTTCATAACTTGTGCAGTTCTCCAAGTATAATTAGAATGATCAGGTCGAGGAGGATGAGGCGGGCAGGGCATGTAGCTCGAATGGGGGAGACGAGGAATGTGTATAGGATATTGGTGGGAAAGCCAGAAGGAAAGAGACCACAGGGAAGACCAAGGCATAGGTGGGTGGACAGTATTAAAATGGATCTTAGAGAGATAGGATGGGATGGTATAGATTGCATTGATCTGGCGCAGGATGTGGACCAGTGGAATATGCTCTCGTGAGCATGGTACTGAACCTTTGGGTTCCATAAAATGTTTTGAAATACTTGAGTCGCTGGGTGACTGTTGGCTTCTCAAGAAGATTTCAGTTCCATTTAGTCAGTCAGTTATTAATGGGTTATTGAAGACTTGGTGGACTATTATATTTGTTTAATTTCAGGAGGGAGCAGTGGCCACTCTTTTCATCCTACTCATGTTGGCAGCAGCTGGTGACACAGACAAAGAACCTAAGCAAGGACCACGCTGCTCTGAGTGAGGTCTATTCAACTCATATTGTGAGCAGGCTAGCTGAAGTAATGGAGGATGTACAGAGGATATACCGAAGGGTGGGTATTGTACAGCATGTCCTTAAGTCTTTGTATGCTGGCACTTCAGAGGAAAAAATTCTGACAGTATGTTTCCATGGTGACATGATTTTTATTGTTGAAAAGCTTCAGTTGTTCATTGGCATGAGGTTTGCTTTCACTGACATTTTCAAACACCAAAAAAATCATTAATCTCATGGTTTGTCTTCTCATATTAACTAATCTTACATCTTCTTTTATATGTGTGTCCGTCTTGTTCTCTCCTATTAAAGAGAACACAGAAGACTGTGGGTGTGTTTGACAACAGCGTGTTGTGGTGAATATTTAGACTTGATATGCAAGAAGAGACAGGAGGCAGGAGAAAGTTCCATAATAAAAAACTTTGTAATTAGCGATCAGGTCAAGGAAAATGCTATGGGCAGGACATGTAACATGCATACATATGTGTTTGTGTATGAGAGAGAGGGAGAGCTATGCATACACCTTTCTAGTAGGAAAGTCTGAAGGGAAGAGCTTTCTTGCAGGATGTAAGCATAAAGAGCAGGATAATATTAAAATGAATATTAGAAACAGGATAAGCGGGTGTTGATTGAATTCATCTGGCTCAGGATGGGGGCCAGTGGTGCGTTCTTTGGGTTCCATGAAATGTTATTAATTTCTTGAATAGCTGAGTAGCTATTAACTGTTAACTCAAGAAGGATTCTGCTCCATGGAGTTATTTTGTTAATTAGTTAAATCCATTTTTAGCCTACCATTATATATGTAACTGAAACTTGTCTCTCTCCACATCTACATAACATGTATTNTTCTAGTAGGAAAGTCTGAAGGGAAGAGCTTTCTTGCAGGATGTAAGCATAAAGAGCAGGATAATATTAAAATGAATATTAGAAACAGGATAAGCGGGTGTTGATTGAATTCATCTGGCTCAGGATGGGGGCCAGTGGTGCGTTCTTTGGGTTCCATGAAATGTTATTAATTTCTTGAATAGCTGAGTAGCTATTAACTGTTAACTCAAGAAGGATTCTGCTCCATGGAGTTATTTTGTTAATTAGTTAAATCCATTTTTAGCCTACCATTATATATGTAACTGAAACTTGTCTCTCTCCACATCTACATAAACTGTATTTAACTCTGGAGGGATGAATTAGTACGGTAACATGTATCAGCAGTAAGAAAACTGGAAGACTGGGCGTGAATTAACAATAAACATAGTTTAACATGAGGTGTTTAAAAGACTGCACCAATCAAGTTATCTATTATTATTATTATTATTATTATTACTATTGGAGGGGGTGGGTTTCCCCATGCACCGCGACCAGTTGTTGATCTATTGTACGTCCCCCTTTGATATTCTACCAGTCGCCATACCCTACCGGTACTGGTGCGTCCTATCAGCCCCGTTGAGCCAACGACATCAGCCCTCGGTACCTTGATGCTTCCCCCATCTACCAGAGTCCCGGAGGACGTGTTCTCTGAATTTTTCCGCCCTTAAAAATTCCACGACCTCCGCTGGGTTTGAACCCCGCGTACCTTGAGTCATGAGGTGGGAACGTTACCCCTAGACTACGGAGGCCGCTAATCAAGTTATCTAAATACATAACAGTTATTCCCTTCTCTGCAGTATCCACAGTGCCAGTCATGTCCTCCCAGCCCCCTATCCAGTGGGTAACCAGGAGTTCTTCCTCTTGATTAATGCCACACAAGTGTGAAGTTACTCACCTCAGAGGTTAGGAATATGTGGAGCTGTATGTCCATTCCCCCGTATGTCTTCATGGTGTGGTGCTTAATTACGGACAGGGATAACTTTATGTATATGAATAGATAACTAATGGTACTAAACATATGAAAGTGTCGGTATCAGGAATCTATGTGAATTGGTACAAATGAGGTCAGTTTAGGGTCATCTGGCACCAGACTGAGTGGATAGTAAAGTCTTCAACAATGACAATTTGATTTTATGATCTATCTATAAATTTTTCTTGCACACAATATGATGCCTCTTTCTCTGTACATTGTTATGTTATATGAAGGGCAAAATGTCTTCTTTCTGTCTGTACATCACAGAGATGTTCACATTCCAGCTGTCAGGATGCAGTAACAATACCCTCACAGATGTTAGCTGATTAGTGTTTCAGTACATGACGCGGGCTGGATTGAACATTGTACTGTTGACATATCATTATTATTTGAATGATTCTATCTTTAGGTGAATTATGACATGACTAATTGACATGTTCCGATACTGGAATTCTAATTCAATTGCATCACTTTGAGTCATCATTACATCACATCACAAAGTCGAGCTTCTTAGGTATAACCTTTTGTCCTCAAGTTCCGTATCGTTGCATCTGAGATTCTCACAATGGTGACAGTGAAGAATATACTGGATTGTGATGTCATTAATGGTGGTTTACTGACGTTTCGGAAAGCATACTGCCTCTGTCAATAAGATGAGAGGGTAAGCGAAACAAGCAGAGCACTTCTGCATGCTGTCTGCTTCTTTCTGGTTGCTTGCTGTGCTTATTCTTGAACCTTGAAGACTGGGGCAGTATTCTCCTTTGTAACATCCGTGAACCTCTGTACACTTCGTGTAATGTAGCTTGTGTGCAGGACCAGTCACAGACATCTTGGTACACTGAAGTATGAAGTACAACCACATACAACTGAGCAGGTTGGCTTAGGGGTAACACAGCGGCCTCTATAGTCATGACTCAAGGTACGCGGGTTCAAACCCGGCAGAGGTCATGGAATTTTTAAGGGCGGAAAAATTCAGGGAACAAGTCCTCTGGGAGGGACTTTAAGCCGTGGGTCCCGTATCGTAGATTTACGGCATGTAAAAGATCCTCATGTCTCTAGGAGACCTCTGAGCAAAATTAGGCAAAATGTTTCCCACCCAAGTAGTTTCCAATGCCTCTGGTAGATGGGGGAAGTATCAGGTACCGAGGGCCGACCTCGTTGGCTGAACGGAGCTCATAGCATGTACCAGTACCGGCAGGGTATGGAGACAGTAGAAATTAAAGGGGGACGCACAATGGACCAATAACTGGTCTAAGTGCATGGGGAAAGCCACCCCCTCTAATAATAATAATAATAATTAAAAAATAGGGGTAACACGCTCTGCTCATATGCGAATGGTGGTTGGTTGAAATCTTGGCTGGGAGACCGGCTATCCTGACGGATGATTATTATGGTTTTTCTCAGACCCTCCAGACAAATGTCAGGATAGTACCTCAGTTACGATAGACCTCTTACTTTCATATTCTTCCAATTCATCACCCCTCTGTCATTCTTCTGTTCCATGCTTTATAGTCTGCGATATTTATATCATTCTAAAATAGCCCATAAAAATACGATATATGTATGTGGTATTTTAAAATTACTTTATTTCTTGCATTTAATCTCTGTGTCTTTAGAAATTTTTTCCATTGCATTAGCATGCTGACACATTTTCATATGGTGGTCACTGCACAATAGGTTCAGGCTGGAAATGGATTTGATACTCATTCCTCTGATCTGCAAATCATTACAACGGTTCAGAAGTATTCACATTGCTTCACAGTCTGACCTTTCTTGCTTGGATCCTTGGTGGTGTGTTGTCAGTGACTCATCACACAGATACCTGACTGGCTACACTAAATTATATAGATTTATATCCATCATGTGCGGCTGTCAAGATAATATAAATGAACTTCAGTATTTCAGGGTTTCTGGTTTTTTTTTTTTGTCCATCATGTAGTATTCCAAGCAGAATACAACATTTTGTAAACCAATCTGGCGCCATCCTCAGGTGAAAAGCTTGGAAACACTTTCTCAGTTGAGCTTGTTATAAAGAGCTCAGCTTAATCAGTGTACCTATTAATTCTTTTTAACAGAACAAACTTAGTAGGTACGTTCACCTGAAGGCAGAGTTCTTTTCAGAATACTGGACAATGGATAAGGTCCATATTATGAAGTGTAATACACCGCAGTGAGGATCTTTAGAAGAAAATAATAGAAAAAGTATTTTGTTTCATGGCCATTTAAATGGATATCCTGGTCAAATTTTTCTCTAGGCGAATAAAGTATGCAAAATAACACAGAACACTCTCTGAACTGGAGCACCATTACAAATGGAGTTACTATTATTGATATGAAAAAAAACTGATCTCATCTACTAATTATTTGGTACAGCTGTGTGTAAAGTTACAGGTGCTCTGTGACTGACTCAGATGATATACAGCTAATTGAAAATGAAGAATGTTTTAACAAAAGAAGTTAAGAAGGGGGTTAAGAAGATGATTTGAGTGGGAGGGAGTGAGAATTATTGCCACTTCTCCTAGGGGATTTAGAGTCTGGTGGAGGGGAAGATTTTAGCATGTCCAATCTGCTTCGCTGTTTCTTAATCATATTAAAGTACACTTATACTGGGGTACTGATGATAAATGTGGTTCAATTGCTGTGATGTATATAGTGATACTGCTCCAAATATGGCCTACATCCTGTTTTGCTGTTGAAGTAGGCTGAACTGACTAACCTGTTTTAGCAGTCTAGGCCAGTGATTCAAGACTGCTTGTCAGTATATGCTAGTGTTCATGTGTGACAGGCTGCACCAAATTTAAAGGGGCTGTTCTGATTGGAACTCTCAAAGTGTGTATTCCTGTTGCATAGATTTTGAGTTATTGATCTGTTTATAGCATTATTGTTATTGTATTTTATACTTTTACACATGTTAATTTTTTCTTTTAATTCGATTAGTGGGGGGGGGAGCCCAACTGGGTCAACTCGGCACGGCGGCCACTGAGTGGCCTATTGTAGCCTGCCCCGGGTGATTATGATGGAGAATTTGGTAGAATGAAAATTGGCAGGGGAAACCGAAGTACTCGGAGAAACCCCGCCCCAGCGCCACTTTGTCTACCACAAATTCCACTTGACCAGACCCGGGATCGAACCCGGGCCGCCGCGGTGGGAAGCCAGCGACTAACCGCTTGAGCTATGGCGTGGCCTTTACACATGTTACTCAAATATAGATGAGCAAAGGCAGACAATCCCATACTGACAGAGCATATGTGCCACTACTCATACTGATTCCATCTTCAGCTCCTGTTCGTAACTGCTGTGACATACTGTCCTAAATTTGCTTATGGGTACTAAAGAAACGCTTCTGAGTTTGAGTAGTGTATTTCAATCAAGATTCAAACAAGCTTATGTCAGAGTTGCTCTCTGTGTCAATTTTTTGCTCTTTTAACTTGTTTCAACTTGCTTCAGGCCCCTGTGATGTTTGCTTCCTGCCATGCTTGACCTCTAAGTCTTCTGAAGATCTCTCTTGTAAGAGTGAGAGCCATAATGTGTGTTTACTTTTAATGTGGACCACATGGCAGATAATAAGTGAAGTTTGACGCCATAATTGTGCAGTTTCTGACCTTGCAGACAGCAGTTGTAATTACGACAGATGAAATTCACCTCTGAAGGTCAGCATTGCTTGCGATGGGCAATGCATGAATGAGTTGCAGAGTGGGTGCAGCAGTGTGAAATTGCGTCTGTCTGTCATCATCACCAAATTTAACAGTTGTACTTTCTGGAACAAAATCCTGAGCCTTACACTAACAAACTGATTCCATTTAGCAGAGGCCTTCTTTAGTAACCACCAGTCTAATGTCCCATGCAAGGAGTGCCCCACAGTTTCAGACGTATTCTGAATGGGAACAGCCCAGAAGGCCTGATCTGTCAAACGAAGAAGATGAGTTGCAGTTTTTACATTATTTAATTAATATTATTACAGGTTATTTAATAAGTTAAGATTTCATACCTAAGTGGCTGCACTAAGTATTGTATCACCAGATGATAACCAGTTGGATGAGTATATATTCTCAGAGTTGCGTAGACAGTAGGACAGTTGTTGATGATGTAATCTGTATCATTTGGCTATGAAACATGGTAAAATATACTAGAACACCTTTCTGTGTGTGCAGTGTCGTGAAATTGCATACGAGACTCATGAAGAGATCCTGCGAGTGCTTCATGAGCTCCACACAACAATGAAGACTTATAATAGTTACCAGGGAGAGTACCGACAAGCAGAGAATAAGCTCAGGATTACTGAGGCCCAGCGACAGAAGCTGGAGCAGAGCTTGCCACCAGAGAAGCTGGATCGCTCCAAGAAGTACCGTGTCCTCGAGAAAGAGGTTCAGAAGGTGTGTGGCTTAAAGTTTCATTTCTTGCTGTCAGATATGCATGTCACGTTTTGTTTTCAGAAAGTACGAGTTGAATAGTTGACCCTAAAAAGGAATAAGTAAAATAAGGGCAGAGGTAATAACATAAAAACTTCACAATTCTGAAACAATAGTATGACTGTAATAATTTGCAAGATTTATTTTAATAGAGTAATGGTCAAATTCTGTGCTGATTTTCACAGCTCCAGCAAGACGAATGAACCACCTGTTTAAAAACTATTTGACTTTCACGTATTAATTTAACAATAAAATAAGACAAATGAGCAATGTAAGCGACTGTAAATAATCGGAAAGCAAGTGAACTTTCAATAACTATGCAGTCACTCTTAACTTCCTCTTTTGCATGACCGTATAACCTTTAAGTGAATGCAACTGTCTGTTGTTGGTATTTGATCAGTCCTCTGCCTATACAGTATAGCAGAACGCTGAAGTATGTTGACATAATCCATTCCGCATGTCACTGTACTGACTCCGCTGTCCAGGCTTTTGGGACTTAGAATGGGTTAGAAATGGCCACCTTATGATAGGCCGACAAGGGAATTGTTCCAGGCAGCCCATGCTACCAGGATTTCATTCTCTAATCTCTTCTCTTTGGTTGAGTTGTAGGGGAGCCATCTGCCATATGTGTATGCTCTCTCCTTTAACAATCTCGCTGCCTAAACTCTTTGCCTGTGTCCACATTAAAATATCTCATGCATGATATGTATGCACGCTGTCTTTATAATGAGCAGGGTTACTATGCTGGTTTTAACTGGACCAATAGAATTCATTTGTAGAGTTTTAATTGGAAGTTTATATAATAGCATCCTGTTTTGCGTTAATAACAATTAATCAGAGCAGATGATGAGCTATACTGATGGTGGCATGCAGTGTAATTGAACTTGTTACTTGTTCCTCTACTGGTTATCACTTCTTGCTCCTTCTCTCTTCCTTCTCCTCCTCTTCTGTTTATATCTCTGCCATCAATTCTGTTTTATACAACTGAATGGAACAAAATTTCTCCAAGCTTGTCTTTCCTTTTAAATTTATTGCCAGCTGTCTCCTCTTTTCTTGATGTCTTCCAGTATCTGCCTGAACCATCTTATTTTTGGAGGAGGGTCAAGCCATATGTCTGTCTCCAATTTTAATTCCAATGCCTTTCTTAATATCCTTTGCTCAGTCTGTTCCTTTTTACTTAATTTTCCTTCAACTTAATAAACAAATTTTGCATTCTTGTTTACAAATTTCATTTCTAATTCTGTCCCTTCTTGTTTTTCCCAGTCTGTTCAAAAGATTTCATATCCATTATGAGGTTTAGAAGCCCCCCTGTGGTTATTATGAAGAGTACTGCCTTCTGGAATGTGACACTGTCTGGTCTGATAGAAACTTACCAGCATTCTTTGGGGTATACCCTGAAGTTGGAAGCAGCTGGTTGCTTTGAAGCATATGTATCTTTCTAGCAGACTACATGACATCACATCCAAGAGACCCATTATCTTAATACTACATGGAGAACCCAAAATTTCACAGAATATTTAATTTGGGTAGCAAGATGCTGGTTTGGAATTGAACCCAGGATGTTGGAATGCAGCAAGAGTGTTAACGACTGAGTCATGCTTTGAAAAGCTGAATTCTTATGTGGGTTCTGTGCACATGTACTAAGTAAGAACAGTGCAGTGATTTCTGAAGCCTGCCGTCATACTGTAACTGTGAGGATGCTTCCTTTTTTTTCTTTTTTGAATCGTGAAATATAATCCTCCAGCATCTTATGCTTTTTGCAGGAGTTCATCATTTTAATCTGCGTAGTTTGCAAGCTGAGAGTTCATTACTGGTGCCCTTGACCTGGTTCAGAAAATGTGACACATCCCCCTCCATGCTAAGGAATTTCCATTTATACAGTAGAGTACATTAATTACTTGAGTGTGTTTATGTCAGTCATTTATCTAATGAATTAATTAATAAAGAATGTGTTGGGTAGCCTGTGTTACAGAGGTCTTAATGTGGTTGGATAATGGACACTAAAAGTTTTAGAATCTAGGGGAATCAGATATGCAGGGCATGTAACATACCAGGGAGACATGAATACAGAGTTTCCATAGAAAATCCAGAAGGAAAAAAGCCTAAACATAGATGGGAAGATAATGCCAAAAGCATCTTAGAAAAATAGGATGGGACACTGTGGACTGAATTCATCTGGCTAAGGATTAGGGACCAGTTGTATGCTTTTGTGGTTATGATAATGAGCTTACAATTTCCATACAGTGCTTGGAATTTCTTGACTAACTGAGCATCTGCTAGCTTCTTGTGAAGGATCTTGCCATGTGGAGTCAGATAGTTGAATGTCTCAGTAAGAGGGAGTGGAAATATGCACAAGATTGAACTGGCTTAGGATAGGGTTCAGTGGTGAGTTTCTGTGCAATATGGTGGTGAACTTCTGCATGTGAATGGTGATTTCAGTCCTGAAAAATCTCTACATAGACTGCAAATGCATAAATGAGGAGACAGACTGAATGAACACTGAGCACAGTGGAGGGGAGTAGGAAACGACAAGGCTGGGTCAGTGTGATGTCTCTGTTGTTTGCCTTACATGAGGAACAGCTGCTGTTGTACCTGTCATTCATGGCTGGGTTATAAATAGTATCCCAGTGCTTCGTTATGCATTATACCATGAGGGCATGGTTGCACATATCCTTGAGTGGTCAGATTCACACCCCAACCATTTTATTTTTTTTATTTATGGCATATTTAACGGTGTTGTCAGCAGATTCTGCTCCTTAGTGTCGAGACCAGCCCTAGGGTTCACCCAGCCTCCTCTACAATGGATACTGGGGGCTCCTTGCGGGGTAAAGCAACCAGGCCACATAGAATTTCCATCTAATGCTGAGGTCAAAGAGTGGTGGAGCTGTACGTCTTCATGGTGTAGTGCTTAAATAATTAAGCACACGAACAACTGTACCTGTACCGTATTGTCAGTAGCTCAGATTTGAACCTCGAATGGTAGGACAAATAGTGAATAATCAATTGGAAAGGATGCAGAAGGAAGCGATTACAGTCTGATTTAACGTCCCTGAATTTAGCTGAAGGGCCTGAGGATGACCACAAAACCTGGATCAGGATTGGTGATATATGGGCCCAGATTTGAACATGAGGCGTCTGAGGTGTGAAGCAGGAGCGCTAACTGCTGGCTGGTTGGGCCTTCAGGCTAGTGTAGCGCCCCTGTGGGACTTAAAACATGGTCATTCAGCACATAGCATAGTCATTATACTGGCTGAGTTACCTAACTGCAGTATGGTCCTCAGGCATGATAGCGGATTGGAATGTTGCTTTCATAAATTTACTTCTCCCTGGTCTTGAATGAAGGCAGTATATTACACATTCAGAATTGTACTTCACACAAAAGTAACTTTTCCACATCTCATCCCAAAAGTACACCAGTTTATTGATTTCTTCTTGGAAGAGCTGTGTGCCCTTTGCCTGGCGTTATGCCCTTGCGGTTTCCATGACTTGAGTTTCAGTCTCAGCAAGACTTTTATATTCAGTGGCTGCAACAGATGGTAGTATCTGGGGACTAGACCACCAGAATGGGTTGTGTTGCCACATTCACTTTTCAGATTGAAATAAAGACATGTCTAAAACAAATTCATGAAAGTAAATTTCTGATCTTCCCTTGTGCAACTCTTGAATTGCACATATCACTCTGTGATCAGAAAGGTGTTTGAGCTGTATAAATCTACTGTTTGCAGCGCAAGAACAAATATAATGATGCCAAGTTGAAGGCCCTGAAGGCACGGAACGAATATGTCCTCTGTCTGGAGGCTGCGAACACAACGATCCACAAGTACTTTGTGGACGACCTTTCTGATCTCATTGACGTAAGTTATGAGTTCATTTAATTTGTTTTCTGAATTAGATTGTGGTCACATTTTCATGGTATGGATGTGTTCTTCTGTGTTATAGTGCTGTGTAGTCTGGTGGGTTGGTACTAGGGTTTGAGGGGGACATACTTCTCTAAGGGTTACCCACAGAAGTACACAATACTTCTGAAAACACCAAGTGCTCACCTATCAGAGCATAAGCATCATAGCCCAAAAACCTAATTTATGACTGAAGAATTGTATTTATCATTATCTGTTAACTTCGTGACATGTATTTAGAAGTTAACAATATGGAATTGTCTCAACTTTGTTCAGTGCATGGACTTTGGCTTCCACCTCTGCATGTCACGTGCATTGCTGATGCATATGTCAGCAGAAGAAGAGCGCAAGATATCAGTACAAGCAGGTATGGAACAGATGTACAGCTGCGTCAACAGTTTGGATTCACGTCTTGACAAACAGAGGTTCCTTGAATCCAACCACACAGCATTTATGATTCCAAAGAAATTTGAATTCCAGGGACAGAGAGATGAGGTAAGTTTATGGTGCCTCACTTTGTAGCTGCTGCTCACTGTAATGCTGTTCTGGCTTACTTAATGTCGGTGCCTCAGATTAACTTTAACTGATTTCTTCGCCGCAGCAACCTGTACATCTGTTGATGGCCAGTTAGGCCAAAACATGTAGTGACAAATGATGAGAGAATATTAACTCATGTTGCATATAGATGGCACAGAAGCAGAGTATAAAGTCAGATTTATCTTTGTTATTAGTTTCTTGATGAGGTCATTGGATTTTTCAGTTGACCTAATCCTTCCAGCCGCACTATGGCCTGGGGGTAGACTCAGCCTCTAACAGAAATGAGTACCAGGCATCTTCCTGGGGGTAAAGGGCAGCTGGCGCATAAGACTGACAACCTCACTGCTATCTGTGAGCCGATTGTCCAGAAAATCTGGGGGCCTTGACTGCCTGTTAAGCATAGCTTTACATTTTTTTAATTACTTTCTTGATTGTCCCTTCTTCATTCAAATACTGTGATCCATTTACAGGGACCAGAACCAGAGTTACAGAAGACCCTCCGGGATGAGCTGGAGGCTCGACTGGCCCAGTTGCAAAATCGGGTAACAACCCTGCGGGCAGAGTCTGAAGAAGTGTGGAAGACACTGGAGACTGCAGAGACAACCCTCCTCAAGATGCTGAACTCAAAGGACTTTTACTGTAGTGGTTACTTTGGTGATGGTGCCATTCCTGTACAAAAACCTCCTGAAACCGTGTCCATAAAACTGAGGGCAGATAGGCAGGAAACAGAGGAATTCTATCTCACGGTGAGTTTCCTGTGACCAAGTTGTTATATACTGACAGTTAAACCTTGACTTCAGAACTTGTGTATGTCATATTTGATGTGTCATGTACAGAAATTCCGTGAGTACGTCCTGGGTACGAGCCGAATCGCGCGATTAGATGCGAAGCATGAACATATCCGCCAGACCTTGCTGGATGCTGCAGGGGATTCTCCTACGTCTCTGAAAGGCCTTCAGCATCGTCACACTGGCCAGACCACGAAACCACCACGACGTAAACGAATTGGGCGCCTTCAAATGAATGGTCAGCCCAAACTTTTTGGTGGCAGCTTGGAAGAGTACCTAGAAACAACCAATCAGGAAATTCCTCTCATCATGAAGAGCTGTATCAGAGTCATCAACTTATATGGTGGGTTTTAATGCAGATTTTTCATTCTTCAACTCTCAGTATTATTTCAGTGCTCAAGGAGTATCATAGAGAGGATTTAGAAAGAGTTAGTCCTTAAATGTAGGATAAGTTTCATTGAATATTATTTCTTGGTGTAGAAGGGGCTGTCTTTACAACTGGCACCAGAGATGAGGTCTAAAAGGATGTGATGATAGTACATTAAAACAAACATTATTTTTCTGGACATTATCCATTGTCTTGTTTTTATCTAAAACACAATCTTTCAGAAACTGGATTCTGTAGGCGGTAGGGACTAGCTCTATCGATTGGAACCAACTGAGTAGGTTTTGCCTAAGATGGAGGCAGAGTGACGATGACTATCAAGAATTCTGTGACATTGGAAGCGTATAATATTATGTGTTGGTGTGATGTGAACTTGGTCTCTGTGTTAGGGGAGTGTTTTTCAAACTTTTCCACATGGCAGCACATTAAAATATAGTTAAATGTCTCTCAGCACACCAAAAGATGTGTTGTTATAAAGTCGTTTGTATGGTCATATGCATACTTGCACTCATAACACTGTTTCCCAATAAAATGTCAGCTGGTACTCATGTGCTTAGTTTTATCCTGAAGGCCAAAACATATATTGCACCAGCAGGTGTATGACTTTCAACAGATTTTCCGATGTGTCGTACTGCACATACCAGCTGAAAAAGCACAGTGTTCATGTGTGTCCATGTACATGTAGGCACACACTCAAACACAAGAAATGAACTAATTACATGTCAGGGACACCGTTAAATGATAGTCATTACAGGGAAATAAAACATTCTGGTTAAATCCAAATTTTGAAAATCTGTAATGCTTACACTATTAATTTTGAAAGTTATAACTATAAAAGGAAGAAGTGTTTTCTGTCTGAAATTTCGGTCTCAAAAGAGCAGTATTTTGAAAAGGAAACAGCAACACAGGATGATCAGGAGCAGAACTGAAGATCTCCCTGCAATTGCCACAGTATTTACAAGAACATTGTTTGTGTCTCATATCACCAACAGGCAATCAGTTTTTTGTAAGGCTGATAATGGTGCATTGTTTTAGGACTCCATCATCAGGGTATCTTCAGAGTGTCAGGATCCCAGGTTGAGATTAACAATTTCCGAGAATCATTTGAGCGCGGTGAGGACCCGCTGGCAGATGTAACTGACGCATCAGATATCAATTCTGTGGCAGGTGTCCTCAAATTGTACCTGCGTGAACTGCGAGAGCCGCTCTTCCCAATTATATACTTTGAACATTTCATGGAATTAGCACGTAAGTGTCTTGTCTTATGTTCAGACTTCAGTACATCTCGTGTATGAAACGTGATAGGGACAAGTGGACAGCTCTTGTGAACATAGTAATGGACATGATTTATTCTGACCGTCTTACAGTGCATACATTTATTCACCTTACTCTTCTCTCTTGCACTACATGTTTCGGCACTAATGTGCCATCTTCAGGTGCTTTTCGATGTACGTCGAACTACTTCATTGCATGCCCCGTTGTCTTTATACTAAAATAACTAAAATATATATTCGTCATATATATTGATAAATTTTAAATACTAAAAATATTAAAACTGTTCAGGATTTGTCATCCTTATGTCGTATCTCAATACGCAGTCACAACACAAAGCACAATACACACATGAGAGTAGGAAGAATACTCCGATAGAAGAAGATAGGTGTGACTCGCGTATTGAGATACGATAAGGATAAGGATAAGGATAAGACATAAGGATAACAAATCCTGAAGTTTTAATAATTTTAATATTTAAAATTTATCAATATATATGACAAATATATATTTTATTTATTTAAGTATAAAGACAACATGGCATGCAATGAAGTAGTTCGACGTACATCGAAGAGCACCTGAAGATGGCACTTTAGTCCTGAAACATGTAGTGCAAGAGAGAAGAGTAAGGTGAATAAATGCATGCACTGTAAGATGGTCAGAATAAATCATGGACATAAATCAGTGCAACAGGACGCTAAAATATAACATCATAGTAATGGACCTTCAGGTTCCATAAAACGCTGGGAGTTCTTGAGTAGGTGCACAACTGGCAGCTTCTCAAGAAGGGCTTAGCTCCTTGAAATTAGTTAGTTAGATGTATGAAACATTTTTTGACATCCATTTAATGGACTTCCTTTATTATGAACTGATGATTTACAATACATGACTTCATATGCTTTAGTAAGGTATTTGATGTCATCATCATCATCATCTAAAAGTGAAGTAGTTGGGCCAGTTTGTAACTTGTGCTGGTTACATTCATATAACAATCTCAGAGGTCCCTTAGTTCTTTAGTCCTCAAGGTTTATAGTTTTCAGTACGTTCAGATGTCAGTTTCTTTGCATTTGGTTGATATGTTGAATCAAGTTGTTTTTTATACTTCAAAATTTTGTCACGTATAAGTTGAGTTTTTAATTTTTTTTTTGGTCAGTCCAATTATATTTTGTTTGCCTCATAAATTTTGTCACAGCAGTTGTATTCTGGTTTTGTTTTCCTTTTATTGTCCAATCTTCTGTGCTGTATAATAGAGTTGGTAATGCTAGGGTAGTTGGTGTTTGTTTATAAAAGTATTGCTTAGTGCTTTGACAGAACACATGTTAATGCTTATTTTTCAGAATTAGAATCGAAACACGACTTTGTAGTGAAGATGAGAGAACTAGTCCAGAGTCTCCCAAGATCTGTAGTTATAGTGATGAGATATCTGTTTGCCTTCCTCAACCAGTGAGTATTATTTAAATGTTTTTCTTACATTTATTGGTTAATTTATGAATACTTCATCACCTTTACAGTTTAAGCACAAAATGGCAGGAGATGGTTAATTATCATTTTTTAAATATGCTTAAAGAAGAGGTAATGGCTTCAGATTGTGACACTGTAATTATGACTGGTTTTAAGGTACTCACCCTAAGCAGCCTCAGTAGTCTAGGGGTAACGTTCCCACCTTGTGACTCAAGGTACGCGGGTTCAAACCCGGCGGAGGTCGTGGAATTTTTAAGGGCGGAAAAATTCAGGGAACAAGTCCTCCGGGAGGGACTTTAAGCCGTGGGTCCCGTGTCGTAGCTTTACGGCATGTAAAAGAACCTCATGTCTCCAAAGGAGGCCACTGAGCTAAATTAAGGACATTTCCCGCCCAACAGTAGTCTCTAACGCCTCTGGTAGATGGGGGAAGCATCGAGATACCTCTAAGCCAGTAGAGGCTGACCTCGCTGGCTGAGTAGGGACTGATGGTAAGCACCAGTACCGGTAGGGTATAGAGGCTGGTAGAAGAGCATAGGGGGACGCACAGTAGATCAAACTGGTCGCGGTGCATGGGGAAACCCACCCCCTCCAATAACAACAACAAGGTACTCACCCTGGATTTGCTTGAAGAGACTGAGAAAACCATGAAAGGCCTTATATTGGATTAGTATTTACTATAGGATTCTGACGATGGTGTATAACACACAGAGATATTGGGTTTTTGGACTTTATTCATCACTGGTCCAGTGATTGAGGCTAGCTCTTTCTAAGGGACCCAACAGAATAGGTGTTTTCCCTCACCTGAGGATGGAAACACATCCAGTTTCCGAAACGTTGTGTTTTTCTTAGTTATCTTAAAAACCAGGATGATGGATAAAGTCCGAAAACTCAATACCTCTGTCTTATATTGGATATTTCTTTTCTGTTATTATGTGATGTACCCAGTACAGTTTGAAATTCATACCTTATGAATAATGTGTCTCAACCTTCTGATACTGTCTGTACTCAAATTCACTGTCATACATAGCTTTTTCTGAACCATCAAATGTGTCTGAAGACCAAGAAGGAGATGAGATTATACAAGTAACATTAGGATAGATCTTAGCATAGTGTGCACAATATGAAGCTACTCTTATCCTATCAACCTCACCTTCACATGGTATTATCCTCCAACAAAGAGGTGAGGCAGCTGGTAGGTAGAACTGGTCCGTTCTGAACTTTCTACTGTTTATTCAGGTGAACACTGAACTTCTACCAACAGCACAAGCTGTCCAGAAATTATGTCGATGTTTTCACTTGATCTTTACATGTGGGCAGGCCTTGGTAATTGTTCTGCCTTCTCTTCATTAGAGGATAGTGTTACAGATGAGCCTGTAGCAGCTCTGTCATGGTAGTATAATCATTTTGCTGGTAAAGAAAAAAGGTAAAGTTGTCCCTGTCCTTAGTTAATTAAGCATTATGCCATTAAGACATGAGGGATTGGAAATATGGCTCCACCATTCTTGACCTTGTCACTAGATGGAGGTGAGTGGTCAGCTTCATGCCCCGGCCACTTTACTACCAGGAAAAGAGCTCCTAAGCCGGTCTGAACACTGCCAGGAATTGAATCTTGGCCTTCCAACCCCCTTGTTATACCAACTACCTACTCTGGCTCCTGTATGCTTGATGCAGAGAATATGTATCACAGAATCTTTACATTTGCATTATGCCCAGAAGAAATGGGTTTATTCCTGTTTCTTGAGCCTGTCAGTTCTTTGCTTGTGTTGCAGCTTGTCAGAATTCAGTGATGAGAACATGATGGACCCATATAACCTGGCCATCTGTTTTGGTCCAACCCTTGTCCCAGTGCCAGAAGACAAAGACCAAGTCCAGTACCAGAACCAGGTGAATGAACTCATCAAAAACATCATCCTCTTCAATGAAGAGATCTTCCCATGTGACGGTGGTCTTTTGTATGAGAAGTACATTAGCCGGGAACCAGACGAAAAGTAAGACCTCTTTGCAAGAATTTAAGGAATCATAATTATTCTGCATGTTTAAACTTCTGAGGGTTTTAGGACTAAATTATTTAGTGGTCATATAAAGTTGTCCCTGTACTTAAGCACCTTACTATGAAGATATATGGGTGAATGGGGGAATAGCTCCATGCTTTCATAACTTGGTACTAGATGGAGTTGAGTGCTTCACGCACTGACAATTTTACTGCTGAGGAAAGAGGACCCAACAGCTATTGGATTGGAGTCTGGATGGTCCCTAGAACTAATCTGGGCAGTGGAGAAGAGAAAAATCACTTTACTGCAACCACAGATGAAGCTCTGATTCCTTGATTGTCCAACCTAGTCACTATACTGACTGGGCTATCCCAGCTTGTGTAATATGAAGCAGAAGACATGAAAAGACGCAGCTTACTGCCCATGTGTAATTAATCTACAATGTTAACAATTTTAGAACGCCTGTCAGGAAAATAAAGAGGGGTTAAGTGATTAATTTAGATGAAATAATGTAGGACTTCATGGTTATGCATTTCACTTAGTGTTAGGAAGCTGGAAATATTGGAGGTTACTGTAGAACAGACATGTATAGGAGAGAGATGTTTTCATAGCAAAATGCTTGGAAAATGGCAGCCTGGAAAAGCAGATAGGATATTCCAGTATACCTTCATGTGAGATCTGAGGTTTCCATAGCAGTGTGAAGATTCAGACGGTTTTCAGCATGGTGTAGCTTCATTTTCTGGCAGAGAGGTGATGATATCCTCTACTTCTGCAGCATACTGATGGTCCAGTTCCAAGATCACATGGCAGAACTTAATTTTCTCACTGGTGATGCCAGCCAGGGTAAACTGTGCCTCAGCTTGGGCAAACCAAACAGCTGGTCACTTGGCCCAGAATGATGGAAGTCACACGGCCACTCTAGATATTTCTGCTGTATATTTGTTGTCTGTAGTCTGCATTGTTCTTCACTGGGGTCACCAGTGTGGGATTTTTTGGTATTTAAAGAGACAACCATTTATTAACTTCTATACAAATATTTATTGACGTTATATGGAACATATAGAGGGTTTCATGTTTTATCTCACTTTCTTTAAAATTCAGAGATAATATCTCAGATTAAGTTACAAGTTCTTCCCTCTACATCCTTCTACTGTTACTCCTACCATTAAACACTATATAATCTTACATATTTAAAGTGTTATTACATCAAGAGGATGGATTACTGTCACATTTTAGGAGTGCATGACTAACCAGGGTTCTAGATTACTGGATTTATTAACCACTTACAGCTCTTACTGCAAACAACAACACTATCACTATTTCCAAACTTTACAGTTCGCTGTTATACACTATGGTCCTCAGTCTATTAGTCTCCACTGTCTGCATCTTGGCAACAGATTTTAACAAAAGAACTATAAGGCCGAGGGCACCCCAAGGAAACTGCCAACCTCAATGCAATCGTGATTTCCAAGAATTGTTATCAACCTGAGTTCGACACATGTTAATGAATGGAGCAAGGAAAATTGAGGAAACAGCCACACAACTCACAGAAAGACTGAGAAATTCAACTTCCAGGCAACGGAGCATGACAGTCTTCTCATAATTGCGTTGCCACATGGTTTCCTAGTGTCAGCTGTTATATAACATGCTACAGCAATTCATTTGTTTCTGATGGCACGAAAGGTTGACGAAGCTGTTAATCTTATTTCTGTGCAGTTAATTGAGCAAGAATTTGGTATATATGACAAACACCACCCAGACTGTGCTAGGCAGGACAAATTAGATTTGGCTTGGGAAAGAATTTTTCATGTGATAAAGGAGTCTTGATCGAGGTTAAGTTCTTTTGAAACAATATAAGTGTGTCAGTTTAAACTGTCACAGAAAAACGGATGCACCCAATATTTTCTTTTCCTAATATTATATTTAAGCATCATGTTGCATTAAAATATCATTTATTTCACATATATTTCTGTCTTAAATACAACTCATTATATAGTCACCCTTCCACATTACATGATTGGGCTGTGTACGGTCATCTTCAGGTGTCTTCTATCTTGCTAAAATAGTTTCACTGCATATCAAAATTTTGAATCGTGTGAACGTGATATTTCCTGATTAAAATAAATTGACCTTAATTGAAACAAATTAATTAATTTCCCAATATTTCCCTTATGGTCATCGTCATCTCTTCTCACGTTGTCTCAACCAGTCTCAACTACCACCATATTTTGACAGGATCAGTAATATTATCCTCCATTCCAGAAGGCAAGTGCACAAAATTAAAAAATACAATTGTGCATTACGTCAGATGAGCATACCCACTTGAGATTATGTGAGCAACTACTCAAACATAAGGTTCCTCAGCATGCACCTGCTAATCTGGAAACCAGTTGCCTGCTTGAAATAGGTGACATTTCTTGGAAATTGTGGTTGCGTTGCAGTTGTCATTTTCCTAGGTGTGCCCTTGCCCTTAGACCACATTACAAATGTGATCAGCCTCAATTTCTCAAAATGCCTACTGCCATGGAATACTAACTACTGCAAATTACTAATTACTACAGATCCAAGCTACAACTGTCCATGGATCAATTTTGCTATAGGTTGCAGTAGTACTAAGTGCCATCTATATTGCAAATTTTACATTTCATGGTACTAATTCCAGTGTCATTAGCTTAATTGTGTTCAAATTCGCTACTATTCTTTGGTATCACTTGATTTTAATAAGTTTCTGCACTGTGGATGTTGTCTGGTAGCCTATAGAATACAGGGTTGTTACATCGATAAGAAAGAGCTAACCCCAATCACAAAACTTCTTGAACAGCTGAATACTCAATAGTGATGGTAAAGCACTAGTACTATATTTACCAAGAAACAATTAAAGTTAGCATTTATCCTGTTTGGCCAAAGAACGATGCATTCCCTTCATTTCAAATTATTAGCTATGTGGTCTGAAAAAGCAGACATCAAACAAAGCATATGATTTCATGTCAGTGGCATGCACTGTTACAGTATTCTTTGTTTCAGCACATTCTCTGTAACGTTTTCCACCTGTACACCGATCAAAATTAACATTTGACATCCTTTATATGTGCCACAGAATGCAGTGTAATAAGCAATGAATGATGATCATGCACCTTTGGTGCGTTCAAACCTGCCTGTTAGTTTCATCATGTCCATCTCTTTGTCTGCACGTATCAGCGCTCACACTGCCTTGCCTATGTTAATCAAACTGGGTTTCACACTCTATTTCAAAATATTACCAAGATTTTGTTTTATTCCAGTGTCGTTTCTTCATTTTTAAGGGTCGAGTCACTTACTGCATAAATTAGCATTTACCTGTAACTGCGGTTATTTGACAGCTTTTGACGAGATTTGATCCATGTTTTTATGTTATACATGTGTGACTGTGTACGGTTCCATCTACTTAAGTTGATTTTAGGCCCCTCATTACTGAAAGACTTGAATAGATTTTGGAACGTGTACATCAAGTATTCAAATGAGAAACTGATTTACTACAAGACGGTCACAAGTATGGATAAACTATAGACATAGTATGTTATATAACATTTGCAAAAAGCACGGTCATTTCTAGAAACTCAGTGGCATTAATTGATAAACAGTACTTAATTGTGTACCACAAAAATTCTTATCCCAAGTACTGTTATCACCCTGAACTTGATAATCTGTTAAATTTACAGCCATGGACACCAGCAGCAGGAACGAAAAACTAAGTATTTGTAGCCCTCCTCCCTTACTTTTAAAAAATCAAGACTGAAGAAAGAAAGGAAACTGGCAATATACCAGCATCTTTTAAGTTAGCAAAAGCATTCGTAAACATTTTAAATGTGCTTGTGAGCAAATATTTTGCCTCCCCTTTCCTTTAGACAATTTTTGGGAGGGGGGCATGTTTACAACAAACTGACATCATGCATAAGTAAAATAACATGTTTAACCTTTAAGAGCCAAGCGACGCCATATGGCGTCATTAAAATAAAGTCAAGGGGACGAATGACGCCATATGTCATCGCGCAGTCCACGCGTGCGGCCGGCTTTTTAAAATCTAATTTTAAGTTATAAATTCTTTTTCTACTTACATGATTTTTGGTCACCAGCTTTATAAGTTGTCTCTCTTCCCACCTGCGTCGTCTAACGGAATGTTGGCTTCGTGTGGAAATCTTGGAAACATCGGAAAATGCAGAGTCCCACATCACACTTCACGCACTTTATCCGGACGGTTCTTTGTTTCCCACGCGAAGAGCACACTCGACACCTCAACTTCGAAGTAGAGGAAGTCTGCCAGTGCTGTTGTTTGGCCTCCTCTATTCAAAATAACCCCGATGAAACGGCAGGGGTTCGACCCCTGGGCCGTTGAGGGCGAGGGGGGCCCCTTCCAGCATGCTCCTGCATGTTCCGCACAAGGGCGAGACGAAATTCTCTGTGTGACAATTTCGCACCACAGGATGACAACAGGATATAACTGTTCAGACTCGTCAGATCCAGGATATGGCAAAATAATTTATTTGTCCATTTCCAGGTTCGATGACAGATGCTATAACTGTTTGCCATTCTGTCCGCTTTGTCGACATAACCCATGTGCTTGTTGTAGTTAGCAACAATTGCTGGCTTGATGGCATTTCCGTGCTCATCACAGAAACTGCCTTCTGCTGGAGGAGAGTGCATATTTGTCAGCATGT